ACCAACATCCCATTTGCCGTCACTTCTTATGGATTTACCTTGGATTTACAGCGTATACTACGTGTACTTAAGTGAGTTCACCGGTCTAAACCCGATTTTGCTAACAAGTTGTCCATATTTTGAAGTTTCACCATAACCATCCTACGGTACCAGTTAAGCACTAGCTTTTTATCCGTATAAACCATTGTTCCATTGTACGCGCGAGCCGTTAAATGTACGCTTTTTTACACCCGTCATAAACCATTGTTTCATTATTATTGCATTGTTCAGTTCGCTTGTTTTGTTTTCCTTTGGAATTCAGTTTCCTCGTAATAACGTTTGCCCCTCGGAAACCGTTACAACTAAACCACATTGCTCGTCGGCCGCTGGCCGAGTGGTCTGCACGTTTCCTTTGTAACCATAAGGTCACCGGTTTAAATCCGCGTAGGAGTGGACGTCCTCGGGGTATACTCATCCCGCGCGCGACTGGTGGTGGTCGCGCGGCAACGAAGCGCCGTTACAGCGTCCAGCTGACACATTATTATTCATTTATTATTATTTAAACCACATTGCTCACATGTTTGGACGTAATAGACCAGGAAGATGGCCAGTCGAATACTGGATACTGGGAATAGAGAGCGATAACACAAAAATCTGTGTTGCTCCATCGTAGGTAGATCGATCACATGCGTGGAATCACCTCGCTGATTCCTGCGCGGTCGCACTATATTGCAATTGCACTAGATCTTATCCGGGTGCGATGCGCTCCCCATACCTGTGGTCCGCAAAGTGCGCATCGAGCAATCTCTTAAATTCTGACACCGGTTTAGCCTTGATTAGCGTCTCCGACAATTTGTTCCAATATTTCACCACTCGACGCTCGAAGCATAGTGAGTAAGTGATGCGCTTTAAATCCGGTACCAATAGTTTCTACCGTTGTCCGCATGTGCTGCTTGGTGCGCGAAGGTGCAGCAGAGGCCTCAACATAGGGAAGTGGCCCAGGTGCAATATGCGGTGGGTCATTATGAGATCAACTCGAAGCCGATGATATGACAGGGTATAAAGCCCTAGTCTCCTACATCGGTCCTCGTACGACATACTCCGTAAACTGGGGATGAGCCGGGTAGCTACATACTGGACCTGTTCCATTTTCTGCACCTCACATATTGGGATTGGACAATAGGCAGGTGAGACATACTCAAGCACCTGTCTCATCATGGAAGATAAAAATCGGGTGGCAATCTCCTCAGACCAAGTGCAAAAGCTGCGTCTGAGTACCCAAAGCAGACGTAGTCCTTTTACCTACAGTTTCTTCGTGTTGTCTACAGACTTCAGATCACGACGTGGGATGCAGCGAGTGGCCAGCCACTGGGTATACACACCCATTACCACCCCATCCGTACGCTTTTTCACTTATCTACATATTTCAAGGATGCCTCTCAGCATTGCGAAGTATCACTTCACACACGGCCGGAGTTGTGATGTCTCAAGAAATTCCGAGAAGGTAAAGAGGGCGGGTCCAAAACGGAATCGCCGGCTAGTGGACGCTGTTCACGGAAGGATAATTTGTATTCTTCCTTCTATTAGTCTGTCTAATGGTTGGGCTTCTGCTTTGCCGAAATCTAGGAAGGGCAGAATGGCATCACTTCGCTTCGTCCAGATCTGATGTTCAGGTCAATATAAACGAACCTTAAATACTGTTCTTGTTTTTGATCGTCGTTTTTCTAGTCTTCTCCTCTACCTCTCCACCAAATCTGAGAGTGATGTCGACCTATCTTTCTACGATTTCACCGTTGATCTTTACGTTACACTCACCTAAACCATTTGCATCGTCACATCTCTGTCGATCTTGCTCTTCAATTATCTTCTACTCGCTCATCCGGAATTCTTGATCTATTCTTGGCTGATGTAATACTGCAGTATATAGCAGACTGATTTTGTCCCTACAAACGTGTCCCGAGCTCACGACAATCAAATCTATTCTTTTTACATTTGTACAGCTTTAATCATAAACGTATGAACAATTTTCGACTGTCACTGTTACAATTACCATAAAACGTTTGTACATTTTTACTTACCTAATCATGCCTCCGTGGGCGCGCCTAGCCTAGTCGAGAATAACTATTTATTTATTTACTCGAGGTGGGATAACTTGGCGCGAAATTTGCAATAGGTTGACGTCCACCATTTTAGATTATTGGCAAATCAACAACTTAAGTGTGTGCTCACAGATGACTTTAGCTTTTGAGGTAACAGCTAGGTCTCATTCTGCATGTGTGTTCCATTTCAGAAATCTGTTTTTCTGGTTTACGTGGCGCTTACTGAGAACGTGTTTTTGGGTAGACGTTGCTGTGTGTTAAAACTGGTTATACGTTCTGGCCAAATAGTTTCCCTCGCTGAAACCAGTTCTTTTCGACTGCATCCAGCAGTCAGTTGCTAAGCTATTCTCAATTTCCTGCCGCTTTAACTGCCAAATTGCGTTCTTATCTAACTCGATCACATCATTTAGTCTAATCGTATGGCTGCCAAGCCTTCGGTTGCTTGCGAATCTCAGTTTTAAACTCACAGGTTACTGACTCAAGTCAAGTCCAATTAAGTTTTATCCACCCAAATGGGTGCATTTTAAGCATTTTCACACCAACACTACGGATTAGTATACAACAAAGCATCAAAAGCTGCATCTTCAAGCAAGCATAGGGTCACGAAAGCGGTGTTTTAGTCCTGTTGCCTCGATTAATATGTGTGCTAGATAAGGCAAGATGAAGTCTCCATATGAGGAGCTACGAGAGTATAAAACTATAAATTTTACCGTGTAGAAGTAGTAGGAAAGCTTGTAAAGGCTGTGAGCGGTCATTTAAAAGCTTCGATGCAAAGTTGTTGCGTGCGTCCAAATATTTGTTAACGAAGGCATCAATTAGCGGTTCTTTAAACCAATGCAACGCGAAACAAATTCTAACGAACCGACAAGAAGGGCGTAATCTTTTTGAAGCAGTCCTTGGAACATAACCGGGGAACAGTATAACCAGTGAGGGAGAATAAATGCATTCGCTAACCGTATAATTAAAGCACGGGGAACGCAAAGCCTTTTAAGTCAGGGCGTAAAAGGAGAGTCTTCTAACCTTTTTAAAGGTTTAAAGAACATGTGTAGACCAAGATAAATTGTAAGGTAGGAAAACCCCGAGATATTTTACGGTAGAAGTACGAGGTGTGCTTTGGTTATGCGCAGTCATAGGAGGAGAGATTTGTACGAGAGTCTAAAGTCTGTTGGGATAGAGAAAACAGAACGTCACGCCACGAAATTTGAAGTGTTGAGAGAGTGGGACCGGTAGCTGGACCAAGCCACTAGTTCATCTAACCCCTCTTGGATTTTTAAAGGGTTCTTGCTGATTGGCTTTATGCAACAGAGCACGACCTCATCAACATATTTACAGCCTATGAAGTTTGATGAAATATGCAGACTTTTAACGTAGGCAGAGAATAGAAAGTGGGACAGGATTGCTCCCTGCAAAACACCACAATTGGTTGGGAAGACAGCAGACTTCCTGCCACATAGCTGCGTGAGTGGATGGGATTTGTAAAGTAAGCATACTACACACATATGGGAGGACACCCTTTTTGGACAAATTGTTTAGTAGCAATGATCTGTCGAGGCTTCCAGAAGCTTTGATATAATCAAGAAATAGTATCAGTACGCTCTTTCCTTGATTATCCAACATTAACGCAATGGAATGCAGCCGATCAGAAACGACATCCAATGTAGAGCGCTTTGATTTATAGGCAAACTGTTTAACGTATATTCACTATGATTGTCTGTGAAAAAGCGGGGATCAGTAGTTTTTCCATTAGGTTTAGCAGCACGGACGTGCACGCGATGGGCCGGTATTTCGGAGATCCTTTTTTAGGCACTGGTGTTTTTCTGGTTGCTTTCCAGTCAATGAACTTTCTCGCATGAAGCTGCCACCTTTGTTGTGCTTATTCAAAGTTGTCATTACATGATACATAGCTCACGCCAAAAGTGTTTTGTCGCCACTGACGCATTTACCCCACGACCGCAAGAAGAAATTCGAAGACAAGTCAGAAAGAGACTTGAATACATGAAAACACATTTGTTTGTACAGTTTTGAAGGCAAAATGAAGGAAAGCTACTAAATTACACTTGAACCAACCAACAGTAGGAGAAGGTCAAATGCAACGGTGAATAAGCAATCATGTACTCAAGAGCGAATCGCATATGTCCTTAACAATAGCATCATGGGACCCCAAGCGTAAAGCTAACATCCATTTACAGTGACGGACACTGGCCAATCAGGATAACGAAATGTAGCGTTTACACAAATGTCACGAGACAAACGAGAATAAGAAATACAGACCCAAAAAGTAAAAAGGAGTACAATATTCGTGTGACAACTAAATCTTCCTTTTACATAACCAAGTAGAAAAGTGATGCGGAGGAAAACCAATGGAATGTGTTCTTGCAAATAGCACTGCTGAAGAGGACACAGAGATGAGCGTCCATTAACAATGACGTGTGTGTACCAATCGGGCTAACACAGTGGAGCGTTTAAACAACAGTCAAGAAGTGGAAAATAGGAAGAGTAAAGAATAGCTACTAAGCTCTTTCACAAAAAATGAATGTCTAATAGCTGTTCTCCTAATAAAAAGTCTATGGAATGTTGCAGCAAATAACCGTGTGAGGTGTTGCCCAACCGAATCAACTTTTGAGGTTATGTCCATTATTAGCATGCCTGTAAAGCTCGTCAGTTTGCTGCCGGAGGACGATTCGGAATAAATTACCCGAGTAAAACGTTTGATGATGACAAGTGAAGCCAGTTTGCGAAACTCGAACTATGTACCCCTACGAGTCAACGCTACACTAAGTTGTCCCTCTTACCTAATACATGATTTCGGTCGGAATGTGCAATGAAAACCTACGGCGAAAGCCAGTTTGTGTGTAGTTCTTCATTTGAGCTAGCTGATACATTATGTAATTTATTGCTTTTAAACTGCGCGGTAGGATAATCAATTGCATTGGGTGCGCGCCCTTCACCCTGGCTCACAAGTGCCAGTTGAAGTGCGAAACATTCTTCATGCACGTGCTGTGGGGATTAGCCGACACGATCAGTGTGGTGTTTGCTATGACGGTCTGTGGTTCAAGACAGCGAAACGCATTCTAAAGTAAGTGATTTTTCGCCTACGTCTGCCCTTGTTCAACAGCAATCATCTCATGTACACAGCTCCTGACAAACACCTGTAAGAAACTGGTTGTTATTTTAAATCTATCTGAGCATTTGCTAGCGTTCCGTTTCGAGTACGTTTTACTGGCACTTGTAGGGACTAATATTTGATCGATTTGATACGTATATTCCTCTTTTATACCACCGGAAGTGAGAATGCTCCAACGAAGGTTTCGTTTCAGTGTGATGTAAAGGGTTTCATTCTGCAAACTGCAGAATATCGTGATAAAACTTGTCCACAGTCATCAGCGTGAATACGCCACAACGGCCGGCATGCTTTAGCCTATGGTGTCTGTGACGAGTTTGATATGAACATTCAGTACATTCGTTTGCCATTTGTTATATGTCTGCAATTATTTCGGACTAATGATTTTAGTTTATTAATGCCCATGGAACCCGAATGTGTATCCTTCAAATCTGCATTTCGTAAGGTAGGTGGGATGATAATTTAATCAGTTATACAAAAAACAACACCAAACAAAAGTGAAATGTCATCTCTACACGGATATAACTCTGGGTATAGTTGGCATGTTCTAGTTGTTCAATCTCTTGATGGCGGAAATCATAGCGTGGTAATAGGCACGGGTCTCACGAATTAGCTAATCGCGTGATATATGAAGTGACTCAGTAGAAAGGCATACATCTGAATTTGGCGAACCTCGATAAGAAATCGTCTTGTGTGATATATTTTCCAAGTCTGCACTTGATGTCATAGTCATATACTGCGAAGCCTGAGGCTAGTTGTTGGAGCATAGCTACAAATGGCTTGGATACCGATTTGGTAGAACTGTACCGGCTCGCAGTCCTATGGATCACAAACCTGGCTTGTAATCCGAGGGGACGGTCTCTAGCCTGCTTAGAGACCGGGCGACCATCGCAGTATCCATAGCCCACGTGTGGCTGATGATGGTTGCGCGTCAGCGAAGCGTCAATACTGCGTATTGGCGTACTGCTACTGCTGATACCTTCTGCTAGGACTTTACAGGTAGCGGAGATTGTGAGGATCACTAACGATGCTGAATTTCAGGCCAAATAGGTATATTTGTGCAATCGTGTAACATCTCGATATAGAGTCAAGGCCTCTTGTACGGGCTAATATTTGCCTTTTTGATAGTTACATTAGCTTACACGTGTGTTTGTTTCATATGCCACCGGTGGCGAAAATACTTCACTGGTTGTTTTGGTTTACTGCTGTAAAGAGTTCCAATGTGATAACTGTCCGATTATTGCGAATGAGCAGATAAATGTTAACTCAGCCTTTACGGTGTTTATATTTTTAATACCGCTATCCGTTGGTTGATTTTGTGAAACCAATTCAATCATTTTCTCTGTTTACAGCCTCTGCAGTAGAGTGATTGAGTGAAAGCGGAATGTCTATGAAGAAGCCTTTACCGAAGTCACAACATTCCTTCCATACGGATAGCTCATGGTCGAAGCCATCTCATCCAGTGATGTGTGTGGACCAAAACGTTGCGCCGTCGCCACCACAACGGCCTAAACGGTCTTGGGTGCGAAGCAAACGGATTTCGGTAAGTGGTTGCATCTACGATTCTGTCTAATGGCAACCGATACCGGTATCTGCTTGCATCAGAACATTGGATGATTTTTCCGAAATGCTATGCGTTTGTCATGCTTGCTAATGACAGCGTTAGACTCACGAAACATGGGAACCTGCATTCTTAACAAAAGCTTTTTCATTTTAGTCGGGGTTAACGATTGATACACCAGATGATGAGATTCTATTAGTCTCCCGTTAAAGCAGTCTTCTCAACTTAAGTCCTGATCCTTTTCACCTATTTCTGTAGGTATACTCCATCGACATGATGAAGGTTCCGGATTGCCTGGATCCATCTTTCAAATAGTGACGGCGATGGGGTGACAACCTTTAGATACGAGCGTAACTTCACTGTTGAGCCAATGAATTTTTATCCAAATCCGATCACAGTAGGACACCTCTGCTCAGTTGCTAAAATCTCATAGGTGGCCGGTCGATGACGTGCCAAAAAGGAGGGAAAACTCATCGGATTTTAACTAAGTGGTGTTGGTAACAGCCCTCTTTTTGTACGGTGCTTCCGCGTTCCGTCACACTCAAGGTCGTACATCCCGTCGCAAATGGCGTAGTCATCAAGACATTGTCATCCTTGAAAACACTAACTTAATTCGGACTCTTTACGACTCCACTTGACGATCTTAGCTTTTGTTCGTTCCTCTTGAATCGCCTCTTGAGTCGTCATTCTGATTATTAGCTTGGCTAAATAACTCATGGTAAAGGTATAAACCACATTTCGGAGCCCGGACTGCGGCTACGTATCAGCAGTACACCGATACGCAGTGCCGTCGCTTCGCCGACACGCAACCACCACCAGTCGTACGTGGGTTAAAGATACTGTGAGGATCGCTCGGTCTCTACGCGGGCTCGAATCCGCGCCCTCAGATTACCAGGCAGCCGTGTGATTCTTAAGACTACGGGCTGGCTGAGTCCTACTTGAATCGATAATTTAGTTAGAATAACTCTGGTGGTGTCACATACCGAATCAAATATCAAACCAAATTCTGGGCAGCACTCAGAATCCATTAATTGCAAAACAAAGCGCCATCTATACTGTACATTTGTGGTGACGCTATTTGATTGCGAGTTTTGCACATTGGTCACTTTCCATATTTTACGTCTTCCGCAGGATGCCTGTGTTCATCGGTCCGTGCGTTCCTCTCGTTTCAATCGACTTCCTCTCCGTCTGCTTTGGCCGTCTCGAGCTGTGCTTGGACCCGTCTGCTCTCATTTGTCCGTCCGGTCAGCGCACACGCTCCGTCCGCTTGTGGCTGTTCTAGCTAATCGGCTTAGCTGTTGTTCGTGAAAAGACTGTGCTGTGTTGCTTCTAGGCCTAGCCGAGCCTAATTGCTCTCTCTGACTTGTGCTGTTTATGTCAGAATTAGCTGGTTGTTATTTTGTCTGCCTACAACCAGTGGTAATATGAGGACATGGGACCGAACAGCGATAGGAAGCCTGCCACGGTCATTTGTTAAACGTCTATTAGGCAAAATTCTATCAAGAACTATCGGGAGCGGTGCCAGTAATTCCGTCTCAATCCGCTTTAGCTGCTAAGACTAAAACATCTTGACACCTCTATATAATCCGAGTAAGGGGAATAGCTATTGCAATCTATCCACATTAACTTCGCAGCACAGTTCCACGCGGGACCTTCATAACAACGACTGGTTCTATCACGATGTAGGACAAAGTCGCGGTGTAACTTCTCTCTAACCAGATATGTTTCTCTGTGGAATCGGCTCCCAATCGCAATCAGGACGTGCGAGACTGCAATCTTTTCACAATAAGCTTGGCAGCTACCTCGACCTGGAGACCGATACGTCCTTTTTGTTCGTAGTGAACACTTGAAGATCTATTTACTGAAGGCCCATATAACGTCTAATAGGTGTAATCCTACAACTTTACACAATGTAATTATCCATCAGTGTTTGCAGCATATAGTACATCCTACCTTCGCATAAAACTTAAATACATGAGACATCTCCTGCCAGAAACACAGGCGAATATATGAGCATATCTTCATTTTGCCCACGTAAGAGCATGATATTACCTGTACACTCATGATCTGTGCCAAGTGTGAACACAACTTCTCACTTGATGAGAAATGTAGCTATCATTATTCATAGTAGTATTAGTACCATTCTTACAGTTAGCTTCGTTCAAGCGGCCAGCTGGTCCCATAGGCGGTAGACAAGACTTTGGGGAAATGGACTCCCCACCCCTTTTCTCAAGAGAATCCCCTTGTGTTGTATCTTTATCCGTGTGTTCAATGACAAGTCGCTAAAATGCGATGTCCCTCAGTATTCGGTAACCACAAACCCATTCTCTTTCGGTATTCAAACACATTTTGATCATCATGTCTTCTAGTATGCGACACGCTTTTCCTCTTATGTGTTCGCTGTTGGTTTCTTATCTACGATAAACCCCTCTAATTCCTTATCGATATGCAAAGAATGACTTGACAGTTTCGATAATGGAAGTCTGGTTACCACTTGCTGAGATAATCATGTTTGCTACAGACTATGCGGTATGTAGATCTTCTGGGGGATTCAACCGACGTCTGAGCAGAACTACCGGAAATATGCATAAAAACGTTAATAATTCTGCGAATTTAGGGGCCATTTTCAGTACCAGCCTCAGTAACAAAATTGCTTTTCACTAATTAAGGTAGGAAGCGTTTGCGCTCTATACCTACCCAATCGCGACGCCATGAAATACATTTGCTATTTAATTGTCCGCATTTTCGGATGGGCCTTGACGTTCCTGAAATAAAAACCTGCCTTTTGTAACGTTTGGTTGAGGACACATTTAAGTCACATGTAAGAGAATATAAAGTACATGCATCTACCATGCTTCGTTTTCTTTCTGTGCTTTTTACACTTAACTCTGCGAAATGCGCGCCTATGGTCTGTTCCCAACCGTCTCCGGGATCCTTCTGTGGTAGTATCTGCGCACCAGTTGCTTCTTTCTATCATTTTGATGCCTACCAGCCATCCGAAAGGGCTTGGTAATTGAGGCCAACCTTGAGCGATGGCTCTCAGAACTTTTTGAATAAATATGTCAAAAAATTCATTCTGTTCAATTTTTAACGGACCGTTAAAAGCCACATTCCCCTGCCCCTTGATTGTAATTTGAGCCTCTGAACACTGAGTTGCTTGACCAACATGTTTGTTTGTTATAAATATCGAACGGACAACCTCATGCAACGTTTCACGCAGTGGTTTAAGACGGACGAGATTTTTAGTTTAGTAGTTCAGTGGTGTATGATAAGCTAAAAAGCATAAGAAAACGCGAGCAAATTGAAATCAAAAATGTTCCAACGTGGAACGTGAATCATCAGTAGCAAAGACATCGCACTTTATCACAGTCTTGTGTTGTGCTTAGCACGAAGATGAAAGTCTAGAATTATCTCGAATGTCGCATTGTCTGGTGCGTTCACTACAGGTGTTGGTAGTGTATTCCAGTGGGAACAGATTCTAAAAATGTGAAAATACTTCTTACAAGCCAAACGGAGGTGTTGCGTCACTACTTCCCGGTGATTCCATCCGCATTTTTGTAAGGGGCTGGGGTTTTTTGTCGCACCTGGACCACCGCTATTTGAGGGTTTTAAACAAATATGGAACCAGTCATGGAATGCGTTATTGGAAACGCATGGCACCGAATGTTACTAGTACTCTGTTTATCTGTAATCCGATTTCACCACATAGAATTACCAGTTTGCAGTAACTCTCAGTTTATCACTAACGACCGAACTGAGTTTATCGTAGGCCGAATGCATGTTGCCAACCTCCTACAAGAGAAACGAAACTTAGTACTCAACCTCTAAGCCCTACCAGTATTCAAAATTGCTGTGTGGATTCACGGCGTTGGCAAGGGAAGACTTGACCTTGACGGCCAACCACTGTCCTCTGCACGGGCAATAATCTGCACGGCAGTGGAGGATGGGTCGGGCTATATCGCAGTTAGGTTTCAATTCGTAATGATCGGATGTCGTCCTCCATGGCTGAGTGGCATAAGCTGCTGGCTAGTTGGCATTAGACCCTAGCGTTCATGGGTTCGATCCCCAGTAGAGGACCGATGGATGCGGACCACTGACGGGCCCTAGGAGGGCGAAACGCGCGTCTGGTGCTTTTCCGGGTTGGTAGCTTACCTATGCGGCTTGGAATCTAATTGCGATAAACCAAATAGAATCATACCCAACTCCGTCTACTCATTAGTAAGAAACAAAAGTTGTCTCCCATTATCTTCACTACAATGCGATTTGCGACATGGTCTTCTGTGGATGAGTACAGTGGTAATAATGACAAAGACTGAATCGATCAACAGGAATCGAGTGTAATATATTCCACACCTCACAGTATGTGGATTCTCGAGGATAAACTGACCATTAGAGGATATGCAAGTGTGCTGTTCGACACTGAACTCCAAACGGCCGTCCGCGTTCGGAGTGCCGTAATCATAAAGAAATCGGTCTGCGGCTAACTTTCCTCTGTGTTCACAGAATGACTGAAACTCTCAAAATCTGATTTGTGAATAACGATCCGAGCTTTTTTTGGAAAACGATGCTGCATTAACCACATCTTTAATTTGCGCCAGTTATTGGAGCATCGTCCCTTAAATTAGCGACTGACCGTTGTCGTGTTCCTCTACATAAAGATACCTTCGATTCGGTAGATCAGTGTGCCTTTTGGGACTGTTAGATCAGGTGAGCTGTGTCTGAGAAATATGTAAATGTCATTTAAGCGCCGCACGCGCGTAGTTCGGGCACAGTTAGGGCTTACGGCAAGCCGTCGCCGCCCTTCAGCGGTGTGATCCAGGGATACCCGCTTTCACCTATTCTCTTTAGCTTCGCCACTGACAAACTCATGGAAACTGCTTTTGCTTAACATGAGCTACAATGTGTGGAGTTGCTTCCTGGTTTCGTGTGTGCCAACGACACTGCACTCACCTCTGACAGCTCCCAAACATGCCAAGCAGCAT